GAATTAGAAATATGTAATCGAACAGCTAAATTACATTTTATTAATTATGCATCGAGAATATATATTAGAAAAAAAATTCTTTTCAAATATTTTCATTAAATCTAATTCTTTCATCAATAGTTGTTTTTGATCTATTGATATGAATTTTAATGCTAAAAAGATTAATGTTTGTCTATAAATCCATAATGATTCTCTATCAAAATAGAATTTTAACATATTTTCATTAATTTTCAATTCTTGTTCAATTAAATTTTCATTGACATTTTTTTTCGATAAAAGAAAAGTACGATATGAAAATCCGCTTGAATCTGAAATATTCTTTTCTAACCATAAACGATTTCGATCTAATTCTTCATCAATATTAATATTTAAATATTGAATAATCCATCGACGATATAACCATGATGCATAATTAATAAAATGTAATTTAGCTGTTCGATTACATATTTCTAATTCTTTATTAATTTATATATTATTAATATTTTCTTGTTTTAATATCCAACGTCTTTATCAAAATAATTGTTCACTTTTAGGTTTTAAATGCAAAAGAACTTCCAAAAATTGAAGTTCATCTTGAATATTTATTACATTCGACAAAACAAAACGTCGACGTATATTCCAACTTGTTAAACATTCAGTTACATAACAAAGTAAAACACGTGTTAAAATATTTAATTGTGAATTATCTTGATAATCTTTTGAAAATATAAATGAATAACATAAATTAACAATTGGTTTTATTTCATAAAGATTTAAACATAAATAAATATTTTCTTCATAATGACAATAGACTGTATGTTCATCAATTGATGTTAATGGCATAAATTCAATTGATTTACATTGTTCAATCGATGATGAAAGTAATGAAAGAAGAGACCAATCTGTTACAGACATGTGGAGTCTTTTTAACCTGAAAATGTTTTATTTGGTTTTGTATTTTATTAAAGAAAATTGATCATAGAATTTATTTTTTTTTTATATAAAAAATATGACAAAAAAATATTCGATTAATCATCTTCGATTTCAAAGATGTTTGTATATTCTTTTCGATAATTCGGACAACATTTTTTTGCTGATTGTTTCTCAAATAGATCTTTACAATCAGAACAAAAGAAGACATGACCACATGGAATCAATACACAGTTTGCTGGTCGATCACAACAAAGTTGGCATAAACCTGCATCATCATCTTTCTCTTTCTCTGGCAATGGTTGATTTATTGTTTTCGTAAGTGAAATCAAACCAAATAAAGAGAGAGCTGTAATACGACCATTAAGGAAAAAAAAATGGATAAAATTTTTGACTTGCATCAGCATATGCTACAGTTTTGGTTGGAGAGGTTGATTCATTATTACGCCACATATGAATTTCACCACTTTTATCATATACGAAACGATATTCATCAAGTTCATTTAATCTTTCATCGAATGCATCTTCATTTAGAATCCAAAATTCTTTACGATCATATAATGCTATTGGATCACCAGCTGGTAGTTTATTAAAGTCTTCAACAAACACTGATCGATGAGCATTGGTAAAACCAAGAATTCCTCTTTGAAAACAAAACATTATCAGATTAAATAGAAATTAAAAAACAATTATTTATGGTGTTCGATAGTTAGGATCAATAGATAAAATTCGTATATAAAATTCATCATCGAGTACCATTGGTAGATCAATAAATAAATAAGGTCGTACTAGGTTTTGAACATCTAATAAATGTAAAATATATATTTAATAATTTTCATATTATAATTTTAAACACACTTTTTCTAAAAACAACTTTATTTTGACAAAATAATTCTAGTTTCGGTCTATGAACATCATGGAAAACAATCGATTGAACATCTGCATGTTTTAATTGAGTAAAATAACGAATTGGTAATTGATCTGGTTTTTTATCATATTTCGTATAGAACCCTCTGCTACCATCTATTGTTTGTGGTGGTGTGGTAAAAGCTAAGCCTAAAGAATAATAAACAAAATTTTTCATAGATTAAATCTTATATTTAAATTGCTCTTATCAATGACAAAAACTTGATACCAACAACTAATAATCTAGAAAATATGAGATTAAAAGTTTTCCTACTGAAAATGCTTATTTTAGCGTTTTCATTGGATATTAACCCTTTGGGGACGGTGGTACAAGGCTTGTACCACCCAGTGTTATGTTGTGAAAAAACGTATGATGAACAGGTTTTTCGAAGGTTCTTTTGCAGAGAGTTTAGGGGGTGCTCCAATTGTCATCTTAGAGATGCCTTTCCTTTATCTCGTATATATCTTTCTCGAATATTCAGTTTTAATTCTTTCATTGTACAATGACGTCATAGTGTTCTTGCGCTTCTTCTGACGTATCGAATGCGAAGAATGTTCGATATCATTCTCGCTCTCTATTGCTCTTCTTGCNCGTGTCTAAATGTAAATAAGAAAGTATAGAATAAGATATTTATTCATATGTTCATTAGTGATAGTCATTTCGAAAAAGAAGTTTATCATGAATGATAATCTAAAGGATTTTATTGAAAATAATATATAGACAATCATCTGTACAGTAATAATAGTTTGGTTTTTCCACTAAAGAGAAGAATTGATCATAAAATCTCATTCTATTTTGAGTCCGAACATAATAAAATATTGTTCAAAATCCAGATAAAGCTGCCCATGTCGTACATTTATTTGAACTATCGCGGTATACCGGCGGTCAAAATACTGCCAAATTACACATCAATTTATCTATACAGATAACTATTTTTGTTTCTTTAATATAGATAATTCTCAACATAACAATGAAGAGTAAGTATTTATTACATAAATTATAATATTTTTCTTTTATTTAGAGTAATCTCAACTCCAAGAGGTAAAGTAAGCATTTATGTAAACTATTTGTTTCTTTCATTTAGATCGATTTTAAGATCACAATGAAAAGTGAGTACTCATAAAATAATTTTTTTTCGTTGGTTGGGAGCAATATTAACAACAAAAAGAAAAGTAAGTATTTTTTTATGTGAATTATTTTTTTTCTTTTATTTAGATCAATCCGAAAATGATCGACTTAACAAAACGACGAAACAAAGACGAAGTAACAATTGCTAATCATATCTACGATTCGAAGTCTTACAGATTTAAGCATAAAAGTAAATTGTCACAGGTTGCAAGTTGGTTTAGTGAATCTATTTATTAAAAATCCTCTTATTTTTTTATCTATATATCGAAAGTTGTTTTTGAGTGAAATGTAAAATTTATTTAAATTCTTCTCAGAAAAAGTTAAATTTCGCTCAAAAAAAAAAAAATTTTCGATATCTAAATAAAAGAATAAGAGGATTTTTTATTAAATAGATTCACTAAACCGATTTGCGGCCTCTGATAATTTACATTTATTCTTAGATTCGTAAGACTACGAATCAGTAGATTCGTACCCTGATAGTGCCGGTATACCGTCGTTTTTTTCCGGTTCGAATCGCATGGGATGATTTCAATCTCGGTAAAGTTTTATTTTTTGGTCCCAATCCTGCACATGTTTCGTCTGTACTGCAAAACTTTGTAAAAATATTTCATTTAAAATACTTAAAGAAAGCTGAAGTTTTAAGAACATTTTTTGCAGACAAAATCTTTTATAACTTCACACAAGGTCAATGATGAGAAGCGCATTTGATTGATTTGTCTTGGATCCGTCTTTCGAAATTTCGAGGCATGTTATGTGTGAATATACCTAACACGATGTGGGATTTCTAGTGATGTCAAAATATTCGAGTTATAATATAACTGGTTTCATAGGAAATAGTTTTATGAAAAAATTAGTTTTCCTTCTACAACATCCAATGATGTTTTTCTCATAATGTCTAATACTCTGTTTTGTATTATGTGTTTTTGTAGAGGGCTGACTGAACTTTAATTGAACATAAAATATGAGGCTTCCCTAATTTCGATTGATGAACAAAAGTCTTGTTTTCCGAAATCATTTATGACTTGTCAATAAGAGCCGTTAAAAAAATAATCACGTCGAACTGAAATAGTAACTGGAAATTTTTACTTTTACCGATTTATAATGCCCTATTGAAGCGTTACAAAATCCAGCAAAAGACGGAAAATAAGAGCAACTTTTCTAGTGAATGGAGACTTTCTTCTAAATTTCAGAAGCGTACAGAGAACTTTTCTAAGTAAAAATGTTCTTAAAACTTTTCAGTCGATGACAAGTTTCAGGTCAATTATTAGGTATCACGATCAATTATCATAAGCAATCATCTTTATGATGTCTGGTGTTGTTATCACACTTTCAATACTACTGGTTGTATTCTATCACACACACCAGCTGACAAGAGCGTAGACATTTGGAGAAAAACTGAAAGTAATTTTTTTTTCGACTTCAACAATGTCCAATGGCCGACTTTTTGGTTTAAAATAAATTATTCTAACTCTTTAAGAGTCTAGAAAAATCTTATACCTAAAATATTGTCAAGATTCTGTCATCTTGGAAGAAAGAATATTTTTTCAAAGTCAATAGAAATACTTACGAAATAAATCGTAGAGTTCTAGCTCTATCCTTCTGTATGAAAAACATTGCTTTAAAAGCGTCTCTGTTTTTGAAAAAGTATGCATGTTTTCTCAATACAAGGTTTTTCAAAAAGCCAAGTTCAGTGTAGTCGGTGCACACCCTTTAGCACAGTTCCAAGCTTGGTGAAACTTTCACAGAATCTTTTTCTTTGTCTGACACGTGTACTCAATTAGCATAAAGATACATAAATTAGTTTGAATTGAGATACATGCTTCCTAAAAAGTATTGTTTTTTAAAGGTTTCCTGAATTGTTTTGTCTCAAAAGTACTTTAAGAGAAAAATAAGAACTTATTTTGAAATAATACGAAACACTATATCGAATGATATGACATTTATTAGTTTTTAAAATAAAAATTTTTCTGATTTAAGTTTAGCATAAGGATCCGCTCATGTATTTTCCATCGAAAATCTTTTCTTTATGAGTTTCATTTTTTTCTGTATTTTTGTGTTCGGTGACTAGCGCACCCTACACATGTCTCAGACGACTAGAGCCATCAGGTTCAGATCTGAGACCAACCCAATAGGCTCTACTCTGTATTTACTGACAAATATCACCCCCATTAACGTGTCATATTGCACTATCAGCAACTGTTTTCTTCGATTAGGAGTATTCTGAACGAAATATTTTCACACAGTTTCGTGGTACAGACTTTGTTTTTTTTGCAAAGAAAACTATCGAGTATCCATGACAAGTTTTTGTCACGCTATACTGAATACAAAATTGAGTAGAGCTTTTGCACGATCCATTACAAGTATGTTTTAGATAAAAACAAAAAGTTTTCCTCTTTTACATAACTCATAAATATTTATATTTCTTGTCTCATTAAAAATCTAATGACACCATATGATTACTTACGCTTGAATATGTTTAATACTAATCGGTATTGTTGTACTTAAGGCAAATACTAGGAAAAACAGAAGAAAAGACAAAATAAACACAAATATGTCAGTTTTACAAAAACTCACTTGGCCATACGTATTCAACAAGTTTTGCGAATGGAATATTCAAAATTGGAATATCAAAATGGAAAACCGCTGGCGTATAAAAATATGCTAATAAATATGTTATTGTCATGACCTAATTATTCAAATAAATATATAAACAAAAAGAAAGAGTCAAATCTATTACAAGCATAGATATATCATAAGACCATGGTAAAAATAAAACTTTCGTATTATATTTTTCCCAATGTGAATCAATAAATGATATATAAATAGTCCAAAGAAGTAAATGCATAGCCATTGGACTAAACCCATATTCGTCTTTTGATATAGCAGAAAAAATACAAACAGGAAATAAAAAACAAGCCCAGGAATCAACACCGTGATCAAATAATTCTCCCAATGCACTACTAGACTTTGTACGTCGAGCTTGTTTTCCATCCATGCCATCTAGAAAATCCTACTGATTTAAGATTTTTTTTTGTATCTAACTATCTCATACCTAATTGATGTGAACAAAATTGACATATAGCTGCTATAAGCCAAACCCATCTCGGAAGAACAAGTGCTTCAGTAAAATAAAAATCATAATATGAAAACATAACAAAATTAACAACAAGAAGAAGAAAACCAAGTAATGTCATTAAATTTGGTGCAAACCAACGTGGAAAAAACTAAACAAAACAAAAACAAAACAATATTTCTTCTTTTATTTATTTCATCTGAAAACTTTTTTCAATAATAGTTATATACAAACAGTGTAGTATTCCAAATAGAAACTACATACTATTATTATAAGAGAATGAAACCATTTTTTTCGTTAACAACAGAACAGTTGAATACATAAACGTGCAAAAGAGATAAAGAAGTAGTGAATTAAAAAAATGTAATGAAACTCGAAGAGAAAAGACATTAGAGACTATACAAGATGTCTCGAGCGCATTGACATTGCTAGAAAATGATTTGGCATTTTCCGCTAGTACATATATTACTAACCGTCAGCGTGAACCTAGAACCAAAAACGGTTGGTCCCACTCATAATTACATTTACATCAACTGCATTATTGTTCGTGTCCTATGAAAGGATTGAAATCCGCCGATTAATCTCTTAGCTAATCGGACAAGTGATCGTTCCATTGGCAAAAGACCGATTATATTTTTTTGTTTTGATTAATACGATATATACCGCTTGAACTTAGAATATGCAATACTAGGCAATTTTTTTGGACGATTTATGTCAAAAGTACAGTTAGTATCTCTATTGTATGCATAAAAAATTTCACTTCTGAATGTTTAGTCACAGTAGAATTAGACTTATAATGATTTGAAGTAGTTAACTTTTAGTAGACAAAATTTTTGGACGATGTTTTCGATTGAATTAATTGTCTTTTCAAAAATATTTCAAAATGACTCAATCGATATAAATAGAAGGAAGAGAACACGAGCTTTTTTTGAAAATTAATTAGTCTATGAAGTAATGTGGTTTATTTTTCGACAGTCAATGAACGACCTTCATGTAAACTCCGTATCATTTTACTCTAATGGTTATTTTTCTTATCAAATAACAAAATCAGAAAAGTGTCAGAAACTACAGTAAGTATCAGATGGTTTATATTTTCGCTAAAGACATTCCTCTAGTTTTACGAGATTACTTTCTGAATAATGTGAAGTGTACGATGCTCTTCTCAATTTTCTATCTGCTAAGAAAAATAAACATTGCAGTAAAACGATAAAGAATTTATACAAAAATAGTTCATTGACTGTCGAAAAATAAACCACATTGCTTCATAGACTAATTAGTTTTCAAACATAGCTCGTGTTCTCTTTTTTCTATTTACATGGATTCAATTGTTTTAAAATATGTGTGAAAAGACAATTAACTCAATCGAAATAATCGTCTAAAAGTTCTATCCACCAAAACTTGACTACGTCAACTTTCTATAGATTCAGTTCTAACTGTGACTTAAAATTCAAAGATGAAACTTTCTGTACATATATTATAGATATTGACTGTACTTTTCATTCAAATCGTCCAAAAAAACCTATCAAGTATTGTACGCAGGTGAGAATAATCAAAACTTTATCTTATAAGACTTAACATTAACTTCTATTTCTATTTTGTACAGAACAAAACAAGATTTTTGAGGAATGTCAATTGAAGATGTCAGTTTTTTTATATATAAGCAAGATACGGTCTTATCTCTCAGTATTCTTTTTCTAGGATTTGTACATTTATGCCACAGTGACTTCTCATACGCTAAGTAACAGCTAATGATTCTTATCTTTTTATGAAAAAACATACTTAGACGTTCATGCTTTCTTTAATTCATCTTTTGATAACAAAGAGACTGTGATGATGTATGAAGAATTTGAAAACGAATGGTTCTTTTAATTTTTCTTTCTCGATAGATCGTTGTGTTTATTGAGCTTACGATCTACTTGATGACATTTCGCTCATAGAATAAACTTTACAGTCATTAGAATGTGTGACAAGTTCCAGTCCAAACATATGCTTTCATATCAAGATGACTAGTTTTCATGACAGTTCAGGCTTTTTGCATTATTAATAAGATTATACTTTGTTCTCGTGACGAAAGTATTTGTTGGAACTACAACTTTCCAAACATTTGAATAATTTCAAGGTTTTTTCCAAAAGACCATGTAGTAATTTACAGTGTTTTTTTTTCAAGTTTTCTCTTTTAGAGAAATTATTTCAAACACCGCGAGAGTGAACACCTGTTTTTGGGAGCACAGAAACATTGTGTGTTACAATAACAGCTAAATTTAGAACGACCAACCCTTTCTTCTGAAGAGCGCCACCTTATCGGCCATTACGCTTGATAAAACACTGATGGGTCATAAGCGCAGCAAAGACAAGTCGTAACTTAAGAAGGAGGTTTTGAGAGAACCAATCTTTTTCAGATTTTTCATATTTCATCAAAGTCTACTTATCGTCAATAGATGGAGTAAAAAACACTTAAACATGTATGCTTTCTCTTCAGTGCTTGAATAAATCTTATAGCCTATTAATAGAAAATCGATGATTAATTTGAATGAAAAAAAAAATGAATTGATAGTACATAATTACTTAGTAAAATAAATATTATTCTAAGTTTTAAGATTTACTTTACCTCAACACCCCAATTCCAAAAAGGTTGCATGATGTAAATCGATACAGGAGATGTATCAATAGCATTATACTAAAATGATAATATTAATTAAGAAAAAGAAATTGATAAAATTCATTTTATTTATTTTACTTTATATTCATTGAGACCTTGCAGATGTTTTCGGTTGAGATACTGATAATTGAAGAAATTCATCGATATGTATTAGTTGATAAATATCTGAAAAAATTTATTTTGAGAGTAACAAAGCAGCGATACGCCGAATGATAATGGCATTTCTCATATTCTTATTCGTCATTCTAATGAACCAATTATAATAGCATTTAGTCCATAGTTTTTCTTATCATTCCTTTGGATGTTTGTTTCTCCTTTTTCTCCTTTTTCTTTTTTATTTTATTCAACTTGTTTTTTTTTCATTTAAATTTTTTTTTCTTTAACTTCTTTTCTCTATTTTATATGTAGAACAGAATAATAATTGAATGGCAACAGTTCTTGAATATCCAACAACATCGGATGATGAAGAATCTTTTGATGATGAAAAAACAGCAAGTGGCTCATTTCGAAATGGAGATTTTCAAGGACGAGTTTTTAAATGGACTAATTATTTACATGGATGGCAAGAAAGATATGTCATATTAAAAAATGGATTTTTAAATTATTATAAAAATGAATACGATATTGGTGTTGGTTGTCGAGGAGCTCTTTCTGTTAAACAAGCTCTTATTCAGGTACAAATAGAACAAACATTTAGTTTAGAAGAGAACAATTTCGAGAAATAAAGATAACATCTGATATGATAACAAATAAGAAGAAAATTAGATTTCTTTATAATGTTCAGTTCTATGATAAGAAAAAAAAGGCATCATATGTATTTTAGACTGAATTCTTACGAGAGAACTATCTGCCATTTGAACTCATGTTGGATTTAAAAGAAAAGCAGAAAAATCCTAAAAGAGTTCTTGTTCGTAGATCTCTGAGACCGAGTAATGCTTATTTTACTAAGTTTTCGATCTAGGTTTTGATGCTTACTGAAAGATCAATTAATGATATTTCGACGTGAAATTTTTCCTATACGATAACTCTGACTATATCTTGAAAGTTTCAAACGAAAAGAATGATCCTTTAACGAGATATTAAATTTTCAAGTAAACTCAACTTTTATGGAAAACGACCAGTTTTTTTTGAAAACTCAATATCTCGACAAAGAAACATTCTTTTCGTCTGAAACTTTCAAGATATAGTCAGAGTCATCTTATAGGAAAAATTTCAGGTCGAAATACCATTAATTGATTTTCTAATAAATACCTCAGACTGGATTAAGCTTGTGGTAAAACAGTCATAATCCGACTGATACCAAGCATGACTCACGAGCTCGAATATTTTTAGAATTTTTCTCGTATTCTTCTTCTGAATCCAATATGAGGTTGAGCAGTTAGTATTAGATCGTGTAGTTTCTTCGTTAGTAAAATGATGTGTTCATCATGTTGAACAAGAATGTTTTTTCTTTTTATAGTCTCATGAATTTGATGAATGTCGTTTTGATGTACGTGTTGGTGATTCTGTATGGTATTTACGTGCGCATAGTCCTAGTGATCGTGAACAATGGATACAAGCATTAGAAGATCATAAACAAATGTGTAAAAGTGAATCCGGTTATGGAAGTGAAACAAGTTTAAGACGTCATCCAAGTCTTGGTTCATTAGCATCAACAGCTAGTGCTAGTGTTGCTTCAACTGGTTCATTTAAAGTAAATTGACAGAATGAAACAAAAAACAAATTACTAAAAATTTATTTTTCATATAGAAAGATCGTAGTTTAAAAGAAAAATTAAATGAATTAGAAACATTTCGAGAATTACTTGTACAACAAGTTGCTACATTACAAACTTACTTTGATGCATGTGCTAATGCAGTAACAAAAGGATTTGAACCATATCAAAAAGAATGTTAGTTAATTTGTCTTTTATTATTAAAGAGAAGGATTTATTAATGTTTTTCTTTATATATATATTTATATAGATGAAAATGCAACTGATTTAGATTTCGAAGAATCATTAGATAAAAATGATTCAAAATTAATATCAAATGATGACACTATCAAAAATTTATCTGTGAAACCAAGTTTGTCTTGTTTTTTTCCCTTTCAAAGAAAAAGAGATTACAATAATTATTTTTTTATTAGAAATTGATCGATTGGCACTTAATGATCATGCAGCTATGGCTATCGATTTCAAAGGAGAAGGTAAATATATTTTTCTGATTCTTGTTTCGTTTATTGTTTCGATTTTATTCAGCTTTAACATTTAAAGCAACAACAGATGGTGTTATACATAATGTAGCATTTTCTATTGAATTAATGCAAAAACGAGAAGATATTTGGAGAAAAAAATATGAAAAAGTTATTAAAAAAAAAGAAGTTTTTATATCAAAATTTTGTTTTTTTTATGCTTAGGAATTGGAACGTCGTAAAAAATTTCAAGATTTATATAATAAAATAAATATACAAAAAATTCCTGCACTTGGTTCACCAGATGCTGAAGTAAATAAATATATTAGAATAAAAAAAATAGTCAATTGACTTTTTTCTATTTACTTTAAAGGAAGGGCCACATAGTACATTAAAAGAAGAAGAATTTTTCGATGCACTTGATCAATCTCTTGATCGAATCGATCGTGAAAATGATAAATATCAATTTTCCGTAAGTATTGATATTTTTTCGTTTTCATTTTGGTTTTAGCTTAGATATATATATAACTAACAATGAGTAACAAAGATAGCGATAAAATTTGTATAAATATGTAGGAGTATTAAAAAAAGGACAAATGATGACAAAAGTGTTCTGTTCTGTTTCATTACTTTACCAACTTATACTCAATGATGAATGAAACATATATGTATAAGGGCTTTTATACTAATATGCTCTACGCTTTTTTTTTCTCACTCTTCAATCAATATCATTACATCATTGTTAAAAGGATAATGTATCTTAGGGTTTTTTTTTGTCATAATGAATGAATACTAACCAGATATATTGCTAGTAGAATAGAAAAAAGGAAAAAAAAGCATACGTAAACAATAACAAAAAAAACACTATAAGTCCATTAGAGCTACTAAAGATATTTTTACGAGCGTATATTATAACGATAAGGGGAAAACAGCATTTAAGGTAAACAACGACAATGCAATCGATAAAAAAGACTTTTCATATACCGGAATCGTATTCACTCAAATCAGATTATGCAAAACCGAGTATCATTATTTCACTCACTCCACTTGTTTCATCCTGTTCATCATCATTATCAAATTACGTCGGTGGTTTACGACCTTATTATCAACAAAATAAATATCCCTTCATATCGACTGCACCACCTTTGTTATCATCTCGCGTACCATCTATCAATATTCATAAGATTAATGATGATTATCTTGAAACGTCATCATTCCCGAATAAAATTTTAGAAAAGAATTCATTCAAAAATGAACATAGTTCTTTACCAGCAGATGAGGTCTGAATAAATTTTATACTTCGAATACTCAATATTATCCTATATTTTCAGTCGAAATTATCATCCCAATCAAAATCCTTTACCAATGCAACAGTAAATAGATCAAAATTTTCATCTAAAAATGCTTCAACAACAGTTCCTGATACAACGATTGTATCACTATCAAATAATGATAATTTAGTAACCAAAGGCAAACATCGATTATCTGATGACGTAAGTTTTATTTTAAACTAATTTTATATTTTTCTTTTATTTACTATTAATCTATTAGGTTGAACGTATTGTTCAAGAACACTTAAAATATGTTCGTGAAGATGTATCACATGGCTGGGATTTAATACATCAAGACGGTGAAATGAAAGTCTACCGACGTGAAGTTGAAGAAAATGGAATTGTTGTTGATCCACTGAAGTGTTTTCATACGATAAAAGTAAGCAGATATGAACCATTTCAGGCAAATAGAGACATATTCATCGTTCATTGGACTTTGATTCTTTATAAGAGTTATTTTCTTTTTTGAATAAGTTCTTGTTGCATAGACATATGTAAAAAATATTACTCTTTCAGCTGAAAAAGTAATTAGCAAATATCTCTCTAACCATAAGAGGAGAAAATTCAAAAACTTCAGGATAGGCTCTATGACACAAACTGTATATATGGTGAAATTTTTAGCAAGATTGAACTTAAAAAAAACTTCTTCTCAAAAATCGGTTTTCTAGAGATTCTGAAGTAGAATTTGTACCATTTTGACTTGATTTTGAAGTTCTCATTCGGTTATAATAGTATTTTTTGGTACCCGTCACATCGCTCAGAAAAGTAAGTCGATTGTTTTGAAAACTTCACCCATGCTCCTAAAAACCTTTGAATAAAGATTTTGTAGTCTCAGGACTCCTCGACCGAATGTACTATGTATTTTTCAAAATTGCTGCCTCCATTTGGGGTATGTTTAAACTGAAATGTATGAAATGAAAGTCGATGTCCTTGTTTCTGTCACGTCGCTAACACTAGTTCTTTTTTTTTACTGATAACTTCTCTGAACAAAGGACTCTAACGTTGATTTTGTCACGGTATTTAGAGTAACTTGACATATAAAAATTAGTTCTAGCAAAGTTCATTATCTTGAAATACACGTGTTTTTATTTTGCGAAGTCACATCACTAACAAATGACTGAAGCCATGTACGAAATTTGTTTGCTTAGGGTGTTACCGGTCATGAAATTTGTCATTATTTTTGGGAATTTCAATATCGAATGGAATGGGAAAGTAAGCTAATCATGTGAATTTTATTTTATTTTCAATTTGTATTGATATTGTTTTTAAGCGACACTTGATTCAACAAAAATAATTGAAGTATTAGATCCGGATACAGTGATATTTTTTCAAGTACATAAACGTGTATGGCCAGCTGCACAACGTGATTCATGTTTTTGGTCTCATATTCGATATATATCGAATTCCGATGAAGATCAACCAACATGGCTTGTTGTTAATTATACTACACCGCATCCACTTGCACCTGTAAAAGAAAATTTTTATTTTTTATTTTTGTGCATGATAAGAGTTTCTTTATAGATTAAGTCACCTCAAGTTCGTCTTATTGCTAATGTTGCTCTAATATGTGAAACAATTATATGTGAGCCACCATTAAACCCACAAGATATAAAACGTGAAAACATTCAATGCAAACTTACTTATGTTGCTTTTGGTATGAAGAAAATTTTGTTTTTTGTCGCAACAAAAAAAAATAGCAAATAATTTCTAAGATACCGAAATTTGAAATGGAAGATTATTAAAAGAAATTTTTGAAATAATTCGAATGAGTCTTTTGTAAAGAAAATGAAAATCAATTTATTGAATTCAATGAAAAGAACTTGATAATAGAACAAATTAGTTTCTCAGAACTTTTATTATGAGCAAGAATGAAATATTGAAATTTCTGAATTTGTTTCCTCCTAGCTATTATCATACTCAAACAATAGAACCTTACAACAATTTTCCTTGTTGAATTTTATTGACAGAGAAGCATCCAATGTCAAATAAAGCTCTATCCTAAACGATAATTTACGAAAAAAAACCTGTTAGCATGATTTCTACGGGATTAAAATGCGAAACACTATGTAACAGCGATTGCTAATCATGAGAAGATTGTTTTATTCTATCTATTTGGGACACATTTATTCAATCGTCGGTTTATTTAATGCTCTAGAAATATAATAAAGACGTGGTTCATATAATATAACAAGACACTATTTATATACGGTCTTTGGTCGTATATCAACAATATTTGTCACGGCTTATTATGTGTCCCTGTTAACGAAGAAATGTTTCTAAGTGTCAAACCATTTTTGAGTTGAAACAATGTTTATCATGTAGACTTTAATAAGCTATGAATATCCTGAAAAGAGTTTGGGCTGATAGCTTATTGCTGCTACTGAGATACTGTATTTTTTGGTAGAATGTCCTGGCTATCCTCAGGAGCACTGGAAAAAATGATTTTCGAATTTAGACTTGAAACTTTGCATAGAGACAGAACTTAATGAGAATAGTTTATTGTAAAAGGTTCAGATCTTTTCATTACTTCTATCCTAAGGCAAGGCTATGATAAAAGCATGTTTTTCACGCCGTTCATAAACAACCTCAAAAATCCTATGTTCTTATTTCACAATAGGCGCTTTCGAAAAATCTGAAAATTTCACAATAAGCTGTTTTCATTAAGGTCAGTCTCTATACAAAGTTTCAAGTCGAAAACTCAACACTCAATTTTCCTGATGGGACCGCTGTGTTCTGGTAAAAAATGCAATACCTCAACAGTAATAAACTATTAGTCTGAACTCTTCAGAGTATTTATAGTTTATTAGAATCTATAGGATATACCTCGTCGCCACTCAAAAGCAATTTGACATTTAGAAACCTTCTCTCGTAATATATCTGGGATGAGTCGCTTCTAACATGTCTGTAACGATCTGTTGATCTTGTGTCTCATGATCTGTGTGTAATAGCAAATTTCTACCACCATATATTTCGACAATCCTTTTCGATCATGTTTCACAGAACCAATCACTATTGTTTTAATGCATGGAGAGTCTATTTTCGAGCCTATACAAATTTCATATTGCTTGTTTCGACATCATTATTGATATTTTTTATTTATTGAACATTAATCATAAAAATGATTCTGATTTTCATAAGAATATCAAATAGAAAATGATCAAGCGATTCTTTTAATTTTATATTGTTCAATCACAATAATCTAAATTAATCCTTACAGGACGAAATTATTTTTACGAAAAAAAATTCAAAGCAGGATAGAAAAAGGAAGAAAATGAGTCATAATCAAATCAGCTAGATTAAATGTATATCAATATAATTAGCAAACTTTCATAATAACAACGATTTCCTATCATCAACGCATAATATATCTCATTGTTCAGAAATAGTCAGCGGCCCCTATAGTGCTCACCCCTCTATTCATTTTTTTTTCTAATAATAATAAGAGTAACCATGAGTACTATTATTTTTGTAAACAGTCAACAGTTTATTCTTTGTTTACAGAAGAAACTTGCATTTTTCTAACGCTAAACTAGATTTTTCATTAATTATTCTTATTTTAGTCAATCCTGGTGGATGGGTTCCCAGTGCAGCATTAAGAGGGTAAGTTTATATATTATTATTATTATTATTATCCTTTCAATCTTGTTTTTCATAATTTTAGTGTGGCAAAACGTGAATATCCTCGTTTTCTTAAACGTTTTACATCTTATGTAGTTGAACAGACACGCAATAAACCCATCCTATTTTGATTGCAATGCATTTCTCTTTCGTTCCTTTGACTTGATTGACATTTTTGCTCTTCTTTTTTTTTTGCATATCTATATTCATTTTGTTATTGATGTTGTTATTTCCATTTTCTTATCTTTTCTCAACATCGCTTATTTGTCTGTATAGATACCATGTAATGATATGAATGTTTTTTTTTGTATATGAAAAACAATATTCAATATGACATACAAAGAAATTCGTGCTCTTCATGCATGATAGATGATGACTTTTTTGTTATCATTTTGAAACTGAGCATTTTAATATGAATATTTAGAAAAATAAAAAAAAACCTATGGGTCAACATCAACGTCTATTCAAAGTATTATAAATCGTCGTGTGAACATTTTTCTAAATCAGCATGATGCCATATTTCTATTCAGTATTGTAAAACCATCATACGAAAGAAAAACATACATATTTAATGGTTTATTGATGGCTTTAATATGGTTCATCGATTATGAGAAATTGTTTATTCATTGGTAATACTACTCGTCGAATGTAAAAAAATAAAATTGGTTTTCTTTATGCTTTCAAAATGATCAAGGTTTTATTTATTTAAGAATTATGTAAAATTTTTATAGTCAATTTTGTAGAAATCAATTATTCGACAATATGATCGAGAACATCAATAAATCCATGAACTTGAAACTCTTATGCGTTTATATTTCAGAAATATATATATCTTACTCATGTATGTTTGTTTGTTTTTCTTTTCTATAACTTTAATCGTATTTATTTTATACTTAAATATGCATCTAATGATACACTTAGCTTTATCATATTTAAAATTTTATCAGCATTTAAATAATATTTGAATAGTAATATTTATTGAATAAATATTTAATACACTTTATTATTTTTTCATCGATTAACAAAATAATACATAGAGATTGAAAACTAGAAAATATTCTTCTTGAAAAATTTTAAGTAATAAAATTCTCAGATTTTGATCTTGCATTTCATTGTCTTAGTTCAAAGCAAATACAATATATATTGGTAAAATGGATTATATGGTACATGAAATTATCGAAAATGAACATTTATCATCAATTGTACTATAAGAAGAATCAAACAATTTATGAAGTTTAGGTATGATAACATCAATTATTTATTTGTACAATGTCATTTTATGATCCAAAGAGCCTACGAAAATATAGTAGGCAATCTATCTTCTCGTACCCCCTCCCCCCCCGAAGGTTTAAAAAATATACAGTATGAAAAATCATCTCATTGATTATGTTTCAATCTGATGACTTCGATTTTTATCAATAATAACAAATTAATATGATTGGTTTGTTTGTATACCCGAAATAAATGTTTATTTAACTACTGACATGAACGAACATGCCTTTTTCTAGATAAATATGTTTGATATTGAATATTGTGCTAAGAATGGTCTTTCTTCACGCTGGAAAATGCATATTCACACTTAAGAAATTCTTTTTTTCTACCTCAAAAAAAAAAAGAAGAATGGATGAGGATGTGACAATAATAATACCAGTTTTTCAATTAGTCATTTATAAATTGGTCACTTTTTCTGTGGATCAAAAACTAATTTCACCTCGTGAAACATATTTGAAAATTGTTGAAAGATGAAATTTTTCACATTTACGTGATAAAACATTCTATTTTTCTGTTCATTTGAAGCTCAAATTCGTCCATTTGTATTCAAAGCAGTGCTCGAAATAAACACTTGGGACTTCAGTGGAATTAAGCATCAAAAATTGAGTCAAACGATGAATATTTTCACTGAATAGCATTTTTTGTTCAAAAGATACCTGCGTACCCAGTGACGGGCTCAGCATTTTTGAGCATGCTGGATCTCAGCTTCAGAGCATGACTCCTAGATGAAGCCTATGGGGGGTGATACGGGACCCAAATGATGAGTTTGTATAAAAATAGTTTTGCGATCGAAGTTTGCGAAAAAAAATTGCTTTTACTGCCCCTCCTTCAGTTTTCTTTTGTTTTGTGTAGTATTCCATTTTTCAGAATTTAATCGTAATCTAGATCAAATTTCATCGATAGATTTCAAATCTCATTTAAAAATATGCATCCGTTCAGGAGTTATAACTTTTTGAATTTTTGCAAAATAAATTTTTCATTTTTTTAATTGTTGTAAAAATTCAAAAAGTTATAACTCCTGAACAGATGTATGTTTTTAGATGAAATGTTAAAACTGTTGATGAAATTCGATGTAGATTGCGACTAAATTCTGAAAAACAGAATACTACTCAAAACAAAAAAAACTGAAGAGGGGAGCGGTAAAAAAAAGATTTTTTTTTGCAAACTCCGATCGCAAAATTTTTTTTATAAAAGCTCATCATTTGGATCCCGTATCACCCTTCATAAGTTTCATTTAGGTCCCATGCTATGAAGTTGAGATCCAGCATGCTCAAAAATCATGAGCCCGCCACTCTGCGTACCTCTCGCAAGAGAACATTCTCAACTAATACTCTCTGTTTGGTTTCATAATTCTCTCATAAGTAGAACTGTGCGAAATTAGAAGAACCTTCAAAAGATTTGTCTCACTAATATTATGACCGTTTTACAGAAATTTCAAGCTCTGTAGACGTATTCATAGAAAAATCAAATACAGAAGTTTCAAAATGAAATTTCACCGACAAATAGGTACAATGACTGTTATAAATCCAGGAAATGTATTTGAACCGAATATAAACTAAGTAGGGAGTACCAAGATGATGAAGAAGGGACGACACACACAAATTCGAAAAGATACATGGGCATATATAGTTCTAAGTGAGTCAAGACTCCTGAGTCAACCATCCCATGCTCATGACTCAAGGAATCCTGACTCAAAAGAGTAAACAAACATACCAAAGATGACGTATCATGGCTGAAGGCCATGACAATGACTTTTAACATGATTGAAAAGTTTCAGCCGTAAAAGATACTTCTTTCTTCAGATACTGATTATTTCACATACATTCGTATTTCACAAAAAAAGGAGTAATACAATCGACTTTTCTTCAATATCTGAAGAAAAAAAACATCTACATTGGCTGAAACTCTTGGTTCATTCTAGTAACTATGGCATCTATTTATTGACTGAAAATTTCAGGTTGAAATTCCTGTAAAACGGTCATAACGTTAGTGAGACAGAGCTTTTGAGGCTTCTTCTAATTTCACACAGTCCTACTTATGAAAGAAATATGAACACGGATAGAGAGTATCAGTTGAGAATGTTCTCTTGTGAGAGGTACGTGGGTGATCTTTGAATAAAAAATGCTGTTCGTTGAAACATTCATCAGTTAACTCAGTTTTTGATGCTTAGTTCCACTGAAGTCTCAAGTTTTAATTTCGAGTACTGATATGAATACATTTGAATCTCAAATCAACAGAAAAATAGAATGTTTTATCACATAAATGTGAAAAATTTCATCTTTCAACAATTTTCAAATATTTTTCACGAGGTGAAATTAGTTTTTGATCCAGAGAAACAGTGACTGAATTATAAATGACTAATTGAAAAACTGGTATTATTATTGTCACATCCTCATCCATTCTTTTTTTTTTGAAGTAGAAAAAAACGAATTTCTTAAGTGTGAATATGCATTTTCCAGAGTGAAGAAAGACCGTTCTTAGCACAATATTCAATATCAAACATATTTATCTAGAAAAAAGCCTGTTCGTTCATGTCAGTAGTTAAATAAACATTTATATTGGGTATACAAACAAACCAATCATAGTGACTTGTTATTATTGATAAAAATCAAAGTCATTAGACCAAAACATACGCAATGCCATGGCATTTCATGCTGTACGTTGCTTTTAGGAGTCTCTGAGATGACATATTTCGTACATTATCGTGCAGTCTCTTTAAATATATTAAAAAACAACGCATTCTATTCCTTGATTATACTTTACGAAATAATCTTCATTATGCATTTACTTAAATATAATCCACTCAGCTAATTGCAATTATGAAATGTATTAAAATATAATTTTATTCAAAAATTTGCAGACAAAAAGGACTTATTCATTATTTAGTTTGAATACAATAAAATAATATGAAATAGTAATGTCAAATTATTTTCAAGAACTGTACTCTATTTTCAAAATTATGAAAATAGAATTTCGTCAACTTTTTTCTGTAATTATCCGGATGAAATACATTGTTGTGTTCCCGAGCTCCATAAATATCCCGATGAACATTGACATTGACCACTAATACAACTTAAACCAACTCCAGCTACTGAAATACATTCATTTGATGATGAACATGCTCCTAAATAACTCTGTCTTGCTAGGCAATAGTTTGATGAACTTGACCAATACATAACTGATGAACATGTACATTGTGAAGTATAACACGACAGAATATTATATTGTTGGCATTGATAATGTTGACCAGTAGTACATGAAGCTAAGTACGTACCTAAACAAAAGAAATCATATTCATTAAAATCACTTTTTTATTTACCTTTTGGAACACATGATGTTGTATTCCACCATTCAGTATTTGTACAATTACAAATATTATTAACGCATGATAGCGCTTTTGATTGATCACACATTGAATTAGCATAACATGAACTTATGGTGCATGCTTGTTGATACCCTGCAGCTGTATAGCAACGATCCTGACAATAATCAAAATATTGTGTTGTAGTACAGAGACATTGTTTAGTTGAGCCACCACTTGGTGGAGTAAGACATTGAAGATTAGGACCAGATGACCAGTTTCGACACATTGATGTTGAATTACATGGATATCTGAAAAACAAAAGAAGCTTCTTTTTATTTATTCTTTTTTAAAATAACTTCTAATTACGAATAATTTAATCGAGGTTCACACATTGTACCATCCCAATATCGATCTGAACTACAATCACATTGACCAGAAATACATGTTACATAATTATAATCTCTACATTGATAAGATGATGTACAAGTAAATGAAGATACCATATAATTAATCTTTGGTGTACAATAACCACTATATGTATTATTGAGAAAACCTGTCCAATAGTCAGTGTAATCTAAAATAGATATAAAATAAATAGTCCATTCGACCAATTGAAAATAATATGAAAAGACAAGTCTTACTGCTACAATCGCATACAGTTGTATTGAGTGCAGCATTTGGTTGACAACTAAGATAACCTCCATCGTAGCATTCATAAGAACTAGAACATGGTTGATTCCATAGTTTTTTTATAACACATAAAGAAGTTGATGTATTCCAATAGTAATTCGTTGGACAAGAGCATGTACCATTCCAAACACCTGTTGTTGGACATTCTAGATTTTGACTAGCAAGACACTCACTATTTGATGAACATTCACCACCAATTGATCGACGTGCAACACATTGGGATCCATCCCATACATGAATACTTTCATTACATGTACATGTATGTGTAGTTAAATTGCATGATAATGAAACAGTATTATCACATTGAACTGAAGCAGTACAAGCTGAACCAGATAAAAGTTTTGATGCACATTTCGTTGAATTATACCAATAGTTGTCTGAACATTGACATGTGCTAGGATTTGTAGATGATGAACAACTGAGAGAAACATTAGTTAAGCATTGGTAATCAAATGAACAAGATGAATTATAAGACAATTGTTGCATACTAAGATGAAACAAAAATCGAATAAAATAAAAAAGGTCCTAGTAATTTTTCTTACCAAGTATTATTTCCTGTCCACCAATATTGATTAGTTAAACAATCACAAGTTCCTAAACAGAATAAAAAGCTGTAAACGCAATCTTTGTGAGATTAAAATATGAAACACTAATGTAATTGGTGTTGCTAATCACAATGAGAGATTGTTTTACATTCTATCTATTTTGGGACACACTTCTTCACTATCGCTTTACTTAATCATCGAGAAATGTGATAATGGAAAAATTTGAAACATTCACGATAAGCTATTCTTGTCAAGGGTTGTTGCTATGCAAAGCTTCAAGTCGAAATTCGAAAATCAATTTTCCTAAAGGAGACCACGCTATTCTGCTAAAAATACAGTACCGTCGCAGTAATAATCTATTAGGTCTAACTCATTTCAGGATGCTCATAGCTCGTTAGAAGCTACATGACGAACAAAGTTCTAATTCAAAAGCAGTCTCATACTTAAAAATGTTTCCCAGTAAGATATCTGTGACTAACTGTTTCTAACATGTCTGTAATAATCTGTCGATCCAGTCTCTCATGGTTAGTCTACGGCTACAAATTTCTTGCCTATATGCTTCAACACTTCATATGTGATCTCATCTGTAGATACTAACCAGCAGTAGGTAATTGTGTAGAACATTGTAGACCAGCAGTAGCATTATTACACCAATAAGTACTAAAACATTGGCCACCATATAATCGTTTATTTTCACAATATCCTAAAAATATAAAGTCTATTTTTCTTTCAACTTTTTCTCTTGTTTTTTCTCTTATTACCATAATTCCAAAATTGAGTAGAATTACAATCACAACGACCATTTATACATGTTAAATAGTCATTGAAATCACATTCACTACTTGATGAACATGTTTCATTAAAAGTTTTGAGATCTGTACATTTACCACCTCTCCAATATCTATAACAAATCTTGTGGTAAGAAAAAAAGAGAATTTTTTTTGTTGATTATAAAAATTACTGAGAGTCTGAACACCAACAGAGTGAATCAGTATATGAGGCAATAGTTATGTTCCTGCACGTAAGTTGAACTAATGAATCACATTGGCTTGATGATGTACAACTTCGATTAAATGTTCGTTGTGATACACATCGACGTCCATTCCAAAATTGAACTGAACTACATGAACATTTTCCCGCTGTACACATAAGACCCACATAAGAATTACAATCACTATCAGTTGAGCACGATTCACCAATACCCACTTTTGATTTTTGATAAATAAAAACAACGCAAAGTGTAGCAATCACAAGCATAATTAAAAAATTCGTAAATATTAAGAGAACCGAACGAGGCATTTCACATGTTTTCTTCCAAGGCGATGAAGGTTTAGTAGGTGCATGTTCAACATGAAGTTCTTGTATTTCAGCATCTTCAACTTGAAGGATATTAACAGCATAATTTTGAAAGTCATTTGGATCCTATGTTTTTGAACCAAAAAAACAGAAGTAAAAGAATAAGAAAAACATTAGAAAATATCACTATTTTATTTCGTTGTACTCGCGGTGTATCACGAGTTTTATCATCATCAGCTTCACCGGATAGAATCGACGCACTTTCTAGTTCATCTGCAGTAATAATACCCAACTGACTACTTGTAGGTGTAACAGTGTTGTATTTGCGCGGCATAAATAGACTCAATATTTAACGTCTGTTAGTTGCAACAAACTTTTTCAAATGTTTTCATTATTTTATATACGAACAAATACAAACGATTCATTTTATTCTTCTGTTTTTAATTCCATTTATTTTTCGTCGATGACTTTTAGCATTGATTGTTTTTGTTTTGACATTTGAAAAATAGGTGGTATATTGGCTTTCATTTACTTTCATTTGCTGTTGTTTGGATATGAACTTGTTTAACAATGTTGTTTAATGTTGAAAAAACAAAACAATTAAGCAAAACGGAATTTTTGTTTTAATTACATATATAAACAAAAGAATCTCTTTTTACACCATTAAAGTTTCATCATGAGAGAAAAATAATTTATTTCAGATCTTCTCTTGAATATGACTGATATACAGGTTGAAAATGAAATCGATCATCATAATGAAGAACAGGAACAGTTAGCTGCTACAGAAGAATCCACACCTCGTAATCGTCGTCTTCAATCATTTGTTGATCAATATGGAACTGATGAAGCACATGTATCTAGAGTTGGTTATATTAAACATTATCTAAGAAAACAATTTGCTGCTTTTACTTTTCTATGTTGCTTAAATTCATTCTTGGATAAAATACCACTCATTCGTTGTTTAAAAGAATATAATATTCGTAAAAATTTATTTGGAGATATTATTGCTGGCATCACAGTAGCAATAATGCATATACCACAAGGTAAAAAAGAAAGAAGTACACATATTTTTCGTTTTATTATTTCGAATAATGAGGATAGGTATGGCTTATGGTGTTCTAACAACATTACCACCTGTTCATGGTAAACAAATGTTTTCGATTTCAATTGAAATAGTTCGTTTTTTCTTTTTTGAAAGGGTTGTATGTTTCATTTTTTCCTGTGATTATCTATATGATATTTGGTACATGTCCACATTTATCTATTGGTAAAATTAACCTTGATTAACGGTATCATCCTTTCTGTTGGGCTACGTCTATTTCTAAGCGAAAGTACAATCAGTCGTACTCATATTTTTACCGCAACTAGATTATCGAAAATGATGGGATCCATTTTTGAGGAAAACGTTTTCAAAACAGATCTTCAGAAGTTTTTAAAGAGATCTTTAAAAAACCCTCGAACCCACTTACGATCCCGGTCTTACTTTGTTCTATCATGTTGACATTTTTTCTGGGGGTACATGGGATAAAGTCTCATCAGGGAAGTCTTCCAACTATTCAATCAGTTTTGACTTGAGACTATATGTATTATGTAGATGCAAATGAGCTATGAATATTCTAAAAAGAGTTCATGTCCTTAGCCTATTATGGCCAAGATATAGCACTTTTACGGAATTTTTTAAAATAAATGCCGTAGTCTTCTTTAGTAACACCACACAAAAAACTGATCTACAAATTTAGACTTGAAACTTTACATAGACACAGATCTTAATGAGAGCATGCTTTGCTTCTATCCTAAAATAAGAACATCAAATCTACTAGTTTATATGTGTGATGTAAAAGACTCATTATAATCATAGTTTCATCTTAGGACATGAGCAACGGCAAGACCTGAAACATTCACAAAAAACTATTTTCATTAAATTCTGCCTCTATGCAAAGGTTGAAGTCGAAATTCAAAAATCATTTTTCTTTCCGTGTTTCTGAGGAAGACCGCGGCATTTATTGAAAAAATACCATACAAGTGCGTTATTTCCGTATCAATAAGCTAATGTCACGAACTCTTTTCAAGGTATTCATTACTCATTAGTACCGACATAATCTCGACTCAGCAGTAATTGAACAGTTGTAGGTAGGACTTCCCAAGTGAGGTTTTGGTCCCAGGTATTTTCGGAAAAATATCAGCTCGATTGAACAAAGGAAGATCGAGATCGTAAATGAGTCAGCTGTTTTTCTTAAAGATCTCTTCAAAAACTTCTGAAGATCTGCTTTTAAAAGTTTCTCTCGAACATGAATTCCATTAACTTCGGTAATCAAGCTATGATATAAATATAAACTCGATCGGTTGTACTGTCGTCGAGACCTAGAATTTGTCCAAAAGAGAAGAGCGTACCCTTAAAACAAAATTTAATAAATATTTCTTCTTTAGGAACATTTGCTGTTATATCATTGATGATAGCCCAAGCTATTGAAAGTGTGACACCACCATCAATTAGTATATTAAATAATAATCAAACGTCTTCTGCAATTTCAAGTGACTCTGATTTACTTTCAATGAATGAACGAATTGGTACAGCTACTACGCTTGCTCTTCTTGTTGGAATTGTTCAAGTTAGTTTTTATGATTAATTTAAAAAAATATGATTTTTTTTATTATTTTGCTGTTGGTTAGGTGATATTATCTTTCCTACGATTTGGATTTTTAACTGTCTATTTAACCGAGCCATTTATTAGTGGTTTTACAACTGGTGCTGCTTTACATGTTTTTACAAGTCAAATTCCATTTATATTCGGTATAAAAGCTCCACGAGGAATAAGTGGAGCATTTAAATTACCAAAATTCTACATTAAATTAATTAGTTTATTAATTCATCATATTAATTGGATATCAACAGCTATTGGTATTGTTTCTATTATTGCTTTATATTTTGCTAAATATCTAAATGAACGTTACAAATCAAAAATTCGTATCGTACTTCCATGTGAATTAGTTTTAGTATGTTACTATTTGAATAATGACTATCTATTTGATATTTTTTTATTTAGGTAATTATTGGTACAGTTACATCACATTTTGCAAAATTTCATTCAAAACATGATGTATCAGTCGTAGGAGATATTAAACGTGGTTTACCTCCACTAACAGTCCCTCCATTAAATCATATTAATCAATTAGTTGTACCAGCTATTACAATTGCTGCTGTTAGTTTATCTATTTCAATATCAATGGCAAAAATGTTTAGTCGAAAACATGGTTATAAAGTTAGCTCGAATCAAGTGTGTTAAATTATTTTTCGAAATAAGTAAATGAAATATTTGTTTATATTGAAAATAGGAATTATTAGCTTATGGAATATCAAATATTGTTCCATCCTTTTTTCAATGTTATCCAAATGCTGGTTCATTAAGTCGTTCAGTTGTACAAGAAGGTAGTGGAGGAAAAACTCTTTTGATCGGTGGTTTTTCTTCCATTGTTTTGGGCTTAGTTATTGTTGCATTGACTCCTCTTTTTCGATCGTTGCCAATGGCTTGTCTAGCTGCAATTATTATTGTTAATTTAAAGGGGCTTATTTTTCAAGTGAAGGATTTTATCTTTTATTTTCAAATCAGTTTATTGGAATGTGTAAGTACGAGAAAAATAACACTGAAACACACACACATACATATGTTACAAGAGAAATTAGAATTAAAAGAATTTCAAAACTTTTCTCGGACGAATTAAAACTTCAGTTTTTCCTATAGAAAAATTGAAAATATTCCTGAACATATAATGTGAATTTTATATAGTTTTATATTTAAAAAATGCAAAGATTTAACGAGACATTTCGACATCATTTGATTTTTGATAAATAACTAATCATAGACAGGTGTATTTTCGCTGTCCGACAGTAACATTTCTTGTTGAATTAGAGTATAGATATGAAGTGTGAATATGGCTTAGAATACACACAAGACTCTCACTCACATTTATCTAACCCACACTTTCCCTAGAGATGTGTAGTTTTAGTATACTGTTTACTGAAAATTCACACTGACTACATTGAACTAGTGTTCACTGAGTTACCTGACCTATCCATACTGTATAGATGTGTTAATGCTTCAATTAACACCGATCCAGTGTAGTCAAAGTGTCAATGACTGTCAGTGTCCCAGTGACCGTTAGTGTTCAGTGAATGGCAATTCAATGTGTCAGTAAACTCATTGTCAGCATTTCGGTATTTTCACCGAAGCTACACATCCACTTTCACCACTTGTTAGATTAAAGAAAACATTTCATGCATTTTTTTCTGAAAATATTTCTAGAGTATTTTGTAGAGTTTTCTTTGCTCTATCGAATGCACGGAAAATCATTGTTGGCTCATGCTTTTCTGGAAAGAAAAAGATGACAATATATGGAAAATTTTTGAGAATTTCAACACATTTTTTTCTTTAAAAAAATTAGTATTTTCGGCTACAGCCATTTATCGGGAATGATTAGGGAAAGTTTTGTATGAAGTTTCGTAGAGTGAAGTTAGCTCTATCTCTTGAAATATTATGCGATTTTATTCGTTTAGACGCTCGAGAGAAAATGATGAAATAGAAACAAGATCGAAACCTTCAACCTAAAAAATAATTGCTAGTCGACATAGGTCACTGTTCTACTGCATAACAATTAACGATCACTTTAGAAAAGGTTGAGTTTTTTTACATATAAAATCTTTTTATATGTTCTTTAGTTTCCAATAGTAAAACGTAGATGTAAAATCTTTTTTGTGTGACAACTCATGTAAAAAATTCTTCACTGAGTCGTGCAGCCTTTTAATTCGTTCGAGAAAAGTTCCAAAATTTCGTAAATTTTAATTTCTCCTGTAAAATGTATTTTATTTGTTGGACAAAAGGTTTTATGGGCAATGACATTTGTCTCTGTTCTTTTGTTTGATGTTGATATTGGTCTATATGTTGGTATATGTACATCGTTTATTATTAATACAATACGAACACAAAAGTAAGTAGAACATTGCGATAGTATTATTTAACATTATTTTCTTTGTTCTTTTAATAAGACCTCGATTTGTCGTACTTGGTCAAGTTGAAAATACTGAACTTTATAAGAATACTGTTTATTTTCCTTCAGTAAGTAGAGAATTTATTTGCGTACTAATTCATCTGTTTTGTGTTTAGGCTCATCAATATTCTAGAATAAAAATTCTTCGTTTTGATGAATCACTTTATGCGTGTAATGCGCCATTTTTTAAAAGAAAGTTTTACGAACTTATTGATATTCATCTTTCATATTCACCAATTATTCATTGTGGAAAAAAGACACAGAAAAATCCTACGAACGAACCAACTTACAAATATGTTATTCTTGATTGCTCACCATTTAATTATATTGATACAGTTGGAGTTAAACTACTTATTCAAGTATGTATTAAAAAAGTCGATAATAAAATATTATTGTTTGTGTTTTTATACTTGTCTAGATATTCAATGATTTGAAAAAAAGAGGGATTAAACTGTATTTGACTGAATGTCGATGTATGCTAATAAAAAAAAAAGTATTCGTTTGCTTTTTATTTATGAGAACTATTTTGTTTTAAGTCGAAGTTCGTCATGTATTGGATGTTATGAAATTTTATGAAAAAACAGAATATTTTATAATTTATGTGACAACACATAGTGCAGTGATGGCAGCCAGAAATGCATTAAACAATGGTATGAATAGGAAAAATTTTATAAAAAGCAAAAATGTCGAAAGTAAAAAAATAGCAAAAGTGCTGTTAACAAAGCTTTAGTATATTCCTTCATCAACATTATGTTGGAAAAATAAGAGGGAAGGAAAAAAGTCCTGTTTTTCGTTATGATGTGCTGTCGAACGACAGATTCATTAGTCTGATATTTTTACTACAACTATGACTAGCAGCTATAGCTCTTGATAGAATGCTAGTCTCTCGCAGATTTCTTGAGCTCCTCATACATAATAACTAATGACTAGAGCAGGTGTATGTCTCAACGTAATCAGCATGCTATCGTATATGTGATGCGAGATAAATAGTCATTAGTAGGTATCCCAGAGCTGTTCCTTGGCTAGCGGTGCCAGTATTCTACCTGGTTGCGACTTTTTGCAACCGAACCCGGATTGGCACTTTTTTTTTAATACCCGAGCCCGAATCGGTTCCGGCCATCTTATATCCCTACTCGAAGCAAATCCGAGTGCTGTGTCCGGCATCCAATAGGAGCTAATCAACATCCAGTAGATACTTTCACAGCCGCAGCAGTTTTCAAATTTTTATTTTATACTACAAAAGTATACTATTTAGTTTCTTTCATAAACAGTAACAAAAAAAGAAGATCGTCCCAAATACCAAAACAAAGCAAGTGATTCAAGATTGGTGTATTTTTGCTTTTAAAATCCAACCAATTTTGCTAATTACATATTTATTTGTTGCTGATAATAATGGAATGAAACGTAATGTTGGTGCCAAGCATTATAATTGTGGATATTATGCATGAATTCTTGTGTCATCACAATAATACATGCTTACCATTTTGATCATTCATTTTCTTCTTCATGCATTCAGTTACTTCATCATATGATTCATTATCATCTGTAGATGAATTTTCATTAAAAATGAATTCTTTTAGTAAAACGATATTGTTTTCCACTTCTATGATCGATTCTAGAGTATAATAAATTGCTCATGTTTTCACTCCTGTGCTTTTATATAAATTAGGAGTTTGGAGAAGCAAGAATATTTTGAAAGGTCGAAATCTCATTAATCGCATGTCGCGTTCGGATATGATATAATAATCGACACTCGAACCAATGCTCCAAGCCGGGCCGAATACTGAGTACCAGACCTGATTGCAGGACACTAAGTAGCACTGAGGTTTGCGCACAGTACCTGCCTTGTGGATAGGTACGAAATAATATAGTCATTCACTCATAGTGGTTCAAAATTGTATTGACAATATGTAGGTGTATCTGTTTCTTATCCTTTAAGTATGTGTGCTTAAACTGCATAGTATCATTTTTGTTTTCGATCTTTTTTACTTTGGACGTTTTTTCGTTTTGCTAAATTTATGCATAAGAATGGTTTCTTTCATTCTTGTTTTGCTATAAAAATTTGCTATGTTTTTTCGATTTAGAATCACCAACCAATGATGAAACAAATGAACATGTGGAAAATCAAGTTTAAATTTTTAGACATTTATCAAACAAAATTTTCGATCGTTCTTGTTTATTCATTCATATGAAAAATATAGAATCATTTATTTAATGATAAGAATCAGCATGGTAATTAGTATTAGTTATTTTTATACGTATTGCATTTTAAACTTTGTTTGACTCAAGTTAAAAACGAAAAAATTTTTATTCCATCAATAGTACATTTTTTTTTCTTCTCTTTATACCCGAATGATTTACATGTGTGATTCAAGTATTCAACTTGCCACTTTTTAGTACAATAAATAAAACTTTATTAATCAATTTCCTTCCTTTTTAATCTCATTTCTTTTTTGAACATTTATCCTCGTTTCATTTTTCTATAAAACAATTTGAAAAATTCTTTTAAATTTATAATACCTAAGTGGAATGTCTATGATAAGTATTTCTTGTCCCAGCATATCTTATCTAGAAAAATAGTGCTGTCTTGCTTGTTTGTTGCTGAAGTATAATGTCATAGGCTCTCTCTCTTTTTTGCTGATAAACTCCAGTTCACTGATAAGTTGTTATCCAGGTACAAGTCTAGTTGTTCTTCCATACATGATAGACTCACTTTATATAACAAAGGTAGTTTTCTTGTTCTGTTTTCTTTTATCATAATCATTTAACGCCATCATGCATTAATAACAAACTTACACCCTTGGCAAAAGAAAGTTCGTAAAATTTTGAATAGCGACTCTGTGAATCCTACCTTCGCTAAACATTACACTAGCACCTATGGAATATAACTGTTTTATTCTTTTTCTCGGATATTTTGTTTTTCATTATGTACATTATTACTTTATGAAATCTGTGAAATATGAATAAATTTGACAAGGAAATATTTTCAGATGTTCGTTTGCTTTTGAGTCAAAGCTTGTTGCATCGTATAGACCTTAGTAAACTATGCCCATGAGTGGTGTCTGAAATGATAGAACGCTTTTAGTGAATTTCGGTCAAAGAATTTGCAAAATTATACGATCGTCTCATCCTAGTCACTAGTCTATACTATTCTTAATATTCATAGTTAATTGTACGTTATGCCTACCGTAATTTATTCCTAGTTTAAAAGTGACTATCTTAAATATATGCCGATTGTAAATTATGAAATGATCTTTCCCTTTCTACAAAACTTAACTTCAATAATATGATTATATTATCTTTGTTCTATTGATCTTTTCGTTGAAGTTTATTATTGGAAAGATTTCGATCTATAAGTACGACGCAAATTGCACGATGGACACTAGCAGACGAGATTATTTTCTGTATTTTATTTTACAGGATGTCCCAAAAATTCGTTGGAAAAGTAAACATTAATATCTGTTATACAATGCAAGCAATTTTATTGTTTTTTGCATAATATGATAATCCCTCAGGCCTAGAAATGCGGACTGTTTCCGGCCAGCAAAATTCGGGAAAATAGTAGAACCTCAGAAGCAGAAATTTAGTGACCGACTGTGCCAGAAAGTAGGAAAATTCCGGCTGTCGGATGCCTACTTTCAAGTTTCTATCATTTTTCGAGTTTTTCGACGGAAACCTGCCACCAGAGTCATTCACCCTGTATATTCTTTGAAGTTTTATTCAACATATCTTCCAATATCTGTGTCTACAAACATTAAAATAGGATCATCATTATTAGTGATCAAATTCAGTTCATCTCTAATGACCACACATAGTTGACTTAGGCGAAGAAAGGAATCTATGCAGAGCTCTCGATAGCTTTTTTAAAGTAGAAGGGACTTAAAATATAACAGACAGTTTTCAAACAACAGCTCAAAATTTTCTTAGACACGACGCAAAAAGTGGGGAGGAGGTAGTCCACCTCATCCTAGAGAGCTACAGATATTCTTCCAGACCCGAATCCAAAGTTTAATTTAGTCAGATTCGGGTTCACAAAAATGTCGACTCGCAGCTCTCTCACACATGAAGACCAATAACTACATGTACACTGTTGTACAGATACTAATACTATTTTTGTAAAATCGATGTCACTGAAAATCAATGATGCTTCGAAAAATATAAAAAAGCTTGACGCAAATTGTAATGTTTGATAAAAAAGAATGATTATATCAGCCTTAAGAGAACTCATTTCGTTGAGTACCAAAGTAGGACGAACGTTTGACCGATCAATCTCAAACTTCTAAAAATGACTACTAATTCTGAACTTTACCGCCATTGCTGAAGTTTTTTGCGGCAATGTATCTTTGTTTTCTGCACGGGTCAAACTGACCCCAAAATATATGCCCCATCGTTTATTTGAACTTTTCATGGAAAAAATGGCTATACATTGTATGCTTTGTCCTTATAAACCAACAAAAGCCAATGAGAAGATAAATAGACGTGGTAAAACAACAATATGAAGAAAATAACAAGCAAATAACAAAAACCAAAAAACATATTTAATACACATTGATACAAATATATGGAATGCATGAATAGAATACATGTATATGAAACAAAAACTTCTCATTAACATGATGCCGGTTTGAGCATACGTTTGGCAATAAGAAAGGAAAAATTATCTTGTAACGTAAGATCATCATTATCATCGTCACTGTTCATTTCTCCATTTTGTTCTTCATCTTGTTCAACGAATGTTAATGTTTTACTATTTTGATTTTCAATTGTTTGAACAACCGTAAAAACTTCAGTATTTATATTATGCTGCGATGTATCCGACTGTCGACGTCTTTTAAATTGATCTTTTTCTAAATGATCATCTTCGTTAGAATTATTATTAATATTATTTGTTTGAGATGTTTGACGTCTAAATATATCCATCATATTATTCGGTTGAATACTTTCACTTATTTCCATATCTGTATGAACAAAAAATCTTTCGTCATCAGGAATATTTGAATCTATATTCGATTCATCTTCATCATCATCAATATCACTATCTTCATCTGGAGATGAACTAAAAGATTGTGTATGCGATTTATTTAAACGTTGATTATCATTACTATTTATCAAATAAATTCGATGACTCTTCCAGAATTCATCATCATTTGACATAGCCTATTTGAATAAACAAAAAAAGAGAAGAAATACATGAAATTGAAATTATATCTTAGCTGTCTGCTACCGCCATTCGATATGAAATGGTGTTGTTTCTTTTTTTTTTTTTTTTTTTTTTGTTTTTTTATTCATAGTATACTAATCAAAGAAAAGATGAACAAACGAAACAATAACATACATATACATATCTGCATACAAAAAGAAAAAAATTTCAAAACAGGGAATAAAAGGTTTTTCAATTTGATAATATATCAAAGAGGACGTAATAAATAAAAACAAACTGCAAAACGTTCGATTCATAGAAATAGAAAAAACAAAATGCAAACCAATAGGGACGGTAGGCGGCAGCAGACAGATTTTGTATGTATGTATGCATGTATGTATGTGTTTTGGATAAGCCATAGTTTGTAATTATTTTTAAAATTCTTCTTGTCCTTTTCCTACCTCATCTCGAATTGTTGATGAGGATTGAAATGGAAAAAGTCCAGAACCATGATTTCTATCATTTGCTCTTAAAGAACATAGTTGTTCAAAACTAGTTTCATGTGATGATGTTTTTTCTTGATGTATTCGATGATTTTCAAATAGATCAGGTAATGTTGGAGTTGATTTTATGTTTTCATTATTATCATCATCATCGTCATCATCATCATAATTCGATTTTTTCGTATCACTCATTCCATCTTGTTGATACCATATGGATTGATCAGTAAATGTTGACGGAAATTGTAGTTGAAATGAAACCTAATTCAAAACAAAAGTTCTTTAATTACATAAGATTCGTTTTTTTTTCCTTTATCGTGAAACACAACCTAAAAGGAGTGTTGAAATATAGAGGTAAAAATATGGATCCCCGACAGATGTCAGTCAGAGATAAAGCCTGGCGGATGCGACGGTTCTAAACATCTAGAACCGAGAGCCAAACTAGAACCGTGAAAAAACACTTTTGAACCATCAAGTCATCTGATGACTATAAGAAAGCCTATTAGTGTAGCCTCTTTGGAACTTTAATATAGAAATCATATATCTTCTTTAGCTTTATTATACTAATACAAGATACACAAAGTGCAATAATCTGCAAAAGAGAATAGTTCTTTTTCAACGATAATCCATTGTCAACAAACGCTATGTCTGTTTTACTTCTACATCTTGAACAGAGATTTTGTTTTCTCTTTTTTTTTGACCGGTTGATTTTATAAACAAATAAACATGTGGTACACATTTGTTATATCTACGTCAGATCTTAACGATTAATTATATATCTCGATCAATTCATGCTTTTGTGTGGGTCATATGACAGTTGTAAGAAATCAAAACATCATCTTTAGGATATTGAAAAACTTATTCTAGTCATTTAAATTTTAAGAAAGATATTGAAATGTTCTAGAACGTTCTAAGCCTCGTTATTACTGCTGTTTAGCATTTTAAATCCCGATTAGTAAGGCCTGCCATAAGGAGGAAGCCGTAAAACTTTGACTTAAACCTGGCATTCATTATTTTCTTCGACAATATATATAAGTTCCACATAATCCTCAAATTTATGTGAAGAAATCTTCATTTTTTTTGTTCTTGACACGAAAGATCTCACTATATATATGTATAATATAATCTCAACAATTCAATAGTGAAGATTTTTTAAAATATGTTTAAAATTTTAGTATTTATCCAATGGTTTCTGTTCTGCGTGATTTTTTGGAAACCGAACCGATACCGATTTTTTCTGATTTATAGTAACTGGAAACACAATTTCGATTCCAGGTAAACTTTTAGAACCAGAGAACTCTAGGTTAAGGTCTGAAATTTTTCTATTAACTGAGGCCGCGTCCGAAAATTTTGAAGTCAACGGGCTCTAGTCAGAGAACATCAAAGACTATATAAATAATTTCTCGCTATAAAATATGAACTACTGTCCGTTTCAAAATAAAATGCGCGTGGGTATTTTTTGAATAACTTTTGATAGGAGCAAGTTAGAGAGGT